CTAACTCTCATCGAGAAAGCGAATCCACATGCATTCAGGTGAAGTCCGAGAACACTAACAGGAATACTTTTTTTTTTTTTTTTTCCAGCAGTTGAGATAAAAAGCAGATGTTGGCAGCTGTCAAGCTACTAAAAGGCCAACTTAAGCCTCCTCTGCTGCGCTGTTGTGAACCCTTAAATTTGTCTCATCCAATCGGCATCCTCCGCTTCACAGGTCTGAAACAACAGCAGCCCTGTGTGAGAGCGTCTCGTTGTGCTGCAGGTTGAGGAATTATTCACAACACCAGAGTGCTCTGATACCTCAAACCCTGCCAGCTCTAATAAGAGTACTCGTCTCCCAAAGCCTCCCGTTACTTGTTTTATATTTATGCGGTGAAAAAGACGTCTCGGGGAAGCTCCAGGATGCATCCCTGAGGCCTGCTTCCTCTGGGTCATCAGGAGTAGCAGTACGTTTTCATAAACCTGCCGTCTCATTGCTGAGGGATGAATGAGACGTTGTTTATCGCTTTGCACTGAAAAGGCTGAAGATAAGACGGGAAAGTAGGTTAGACAGTTTTGGGCGGTGCAAGCTGTTTTTCCGTATTGGCAAGGCTCTCTCCATTTCCAATCCACCTTGCAGCGAGCAACATTTATCTCAGTCTGCATCATATATCAAGCTGGATTTATTAGGAAACAATATGCAACTAAACAGCCGTTAGTCGCCTGTCTTTCGGGCAGGACTTGCTTCGCTGCGCTGGTATTACACAACCCTGGCCTCTCCGCACACACACAGACAGAGTGAAAGAGGTGTGAAAGCCAACCGTGTTAGATCATGTCATTGGGGCAATATGTGCCCTCGCTGCTCAACATATGTCCCCGTGGCTTCGGGTCTCATCCCGTGATAATGTGAGGAGCTCGCTGATGGAAGCTGCTCACCAGGCCGCTGGTCCAAATGCGCGGCTCCGCTAAGGAGTTGTTAGCATCGGTGTGTGTGTGTGTGTGTGTTGTGTCTGTGTTCGGAGGGGTGAGATGATGGAGTGTGTTTCCAATGACCGCCCGAGGTATGTCCCATCTGTTCAATGTAGCATTTACAGCTCCTCCTGTTTGTCTGTGTTGGGAAACAAAAGCTTAGTGTGTGTGTGTGTGTGTGTGTACACCTCTACTCCCTACAAAGCCAGATCAAGCCATTCCTGCGGCCATAAACGCACATTTCAATGTGCAAGCTGTCATACCTCATGCATTATCAACTAGTACACTGACATAGCATAATAAACCTCCCCCTGCTGCTTTTCACACCCGCCAAAAATTCCCTGTGATTCATTATCATAAATACAGGCTTCTGCGGAGCGTCGCCCTTCATCAAAATGACCAAAATGAAACAGAACTGAGGGAATTTCACGCTTGCGATGCTAAAACCCAAGGTCACGTCGTTTCTGCTTTAAGCTCGGTGGCGGTTTGCATGATGGCAGTGATGTTTTTCCGGGCACTTGTCGGGTCGCTCTTGAGTGGAAGTTGGGTTTTGGTGCAGAGGAATCAAGGCCTCGGTGAGTCAAGAAGATGTTTTGGCGAATTATTGGAGCTTCTGTGGACGTGCGTGTCCGAGCCATTGAATAATTGATGAGGACGATGAGAAACGGCACATGTACACAGGCTCCATCTGTGACCTTAGTTGATAAGAATCGCTGCTGTCCATGGAATCAGTAGCTTCCCTCCGCTGCGAGGGCGCGAGGTGGTTCAAAGCAGAAGGGAGAGGGTGAGGAACAAGGAGACACATGTGGATCAGTTTTACACAAGCAATACAGCTAACCTGAAAACTCAAGAAGACAAAGGGAGATCTCTGTCGTCGCAACAGCAGGATCTGGCTTTGATGAAGCCACAAATTGGAGGCGAAATCGATTCTGCATGTTTGCACCAGGACAGAAATGTCTCAAAAGTCTTCATGCCAATAGTCATAAGAGATGTTTTTAAACTAGGGCCATAATCTCACCTGTCAGAGAGGCGAGAAGAAGAAACGGGAACTGATGCACTGTTGCATGATCCTTGTTTTGTGTCTGTACAGTCGAGGAAGTCAATGAATGACTCCCTGTTGGAACTGTGGCAAAGATGCTTATTCATGTTCTTGCGGAGAAGATTGATACCATGATGCGGGGGTTAACTATGAAGCTACACCCAGTAGCCAGTTAGCTTAGCTTAGCATAAAGAATTGGGTGAGAAAGCAGCTAGCCGGCTCTGACAATAACAAAATTGTTCTACCAGCATCTTTATCTTTGACTAATTTGTCTATTTTTCTTGCTGAGTTAGTTGAAAAAAATAAAAAAATTACTACCATTTCTGTATGAGAAGCTACAGCCATTAGCAGATGGCTAATGTTAGCTAATGAAGCAGCTATGTTTGCTCTGTCTGAAGGTTAAAGAAGTGACCCGTCAACACTACTAAACTAAAACAGTCTCTGGTCAGTTTTTCTTGAGGATTAGCTGACAGGAAGTAAACACCAAATATGAATCTATTGTTCACTTAGCTTATCGAAAACACTGGAAACAGGGGAAACAGCTAGCTTAGCGTGTCTAAAGTTTACAAAAGCAGCCATCTAGCAACACTAAAGTAGTTAATTTTTCTTATCTATAAGTTGAGAAGGTTGATACTACTCGCGTATCTGTTTTTAAATATAAAACTACAGCTAGCTGCTAGCCAGAGACATTACAAGGACTTTAGCTTAGCTTGGGTTAGCGAAAAGAAGCTACACTGAGACGGAGTCTTGCACAGCACATGTTAACGTGTTGATTTACACTTTGGTTTTTGTTTGAACGGAACAAGCAACATATAATATTAATAACCGAGATTTAGAGATGCTGGTGAGACGGAGCCAGTTAAGCACTTTCCTACTGTTTACAGTCTTCATGCTAAGCTAGCTAGCTGTAGCTTCACATTCACCGTACAGATACGACTGTGGTGTCAATCTTCTCGTCCAGTTTTTACAGCAAGAAAATAAATCTCTCAGTTTCCAACCCATTAAAATATTAAAGTTTTCATCCCAAATTGCACATTTGGGATTTCTGAAGGTTTTTTTTGCCTACTGGACCTTACACACACCAAGCCATGTTTGAACTGAATGTTCTCTTTCTGCACATTTAAAAAAAAAAAAACGGCCTGCATCTCCATATTACACCCTCAAACAGTTGTTCAGACGCTGAGTCTACACGGGATTTATGATCAACTCCACACACTTTCACAAAGCACCTGCAATATGTATCTGCTCTATCACACAAATGTATACTCTGTTGCACCAATGATGTTTTCTTATATTCTTTTCCACGATATTATCAAATGGATTCTATCAATATATGATAATTTTTCTCAGATGAGTAGAATCGATGCACACTGACTGTTAAACTCCTGTACTTTTTCTTTTTTCTCTTTTCTTTCTTTCTTATCTGATCTGTGTGTGTAGAAACTGCCATCGTTCTTGTTGTAAATGGTGTTTACTGACAAATTGCGTTCTGGTGCTGTTGTTGTTTGACTCGGTGTACAGTTTAGATCTTCTCCAGAGTGATCTGTGTGACTAGAAGATTCTGCAGGCATCTGGTTATAACTGAATAAAGATTTTTTGGCAGCTGTTTGTTAGTTGCTGTCACCGTGTCTTTTGTCGCTGGAGCTTAATGTTGTACTTTTTGACTACATTTATATGACAGGTGCGGTTAAAGTGATACAGAGAGGTCATTCTGCTGCATACAATTTTGCGGCTTTCAAATAAGTAGACCTGAATTTGCTTTACATATCTGTGACGCTGTCCAAATTAGTGACAATATGCTGAATAGATTACGTCATGAAAGCAAATTTTAGTGGAATATCATCCCAGAAAAGAAAGAATCTTCCTCATATGTCAGTGGAATTACTGCAGAACATGAGGGACATGCTTTGTAATAGTAAGCAGCGTTTTTCCTGCATGAAGTGATTCTTGGCGTCGACCAAATAATCGTCTAAAGAAAATCATCAACACCAAAAAGAACTGAGAATACATTTTTGGTCCATTTACTCAAGCATAATATACATTTTTGTGCATCTGATGGTTAGAAATAACAGAAAAAGGTCATGGATGTCTTCTGTTGAATAACGTAGACTCATTTCCTTTATTGAATGCATCATGCTTCCAGTTGAGTCCCTCAAAGGTCAGATCTGAGCCAAGAAACCCCTGCTAGTGTAGTTTTCAAGTTTTAATCTGCATCTATGAACACGATACAGTCAGGATCACTGGAGGACCACAAATACTGACTTTTCTTTGTGAATCATAAACTATGCTCTTACAATGAGCTTTAAATGTGTCCTTCTGGTTTAGATTTGAGCTCGTTCCAGGCCTGTTTTAACCAAAACAAACAGCGCTGCAGCTACATTTCAACCCTGATGCACAGAAACGCATCACCTTTTCCAAGTCCTGTCCACTTCAAACCTCTTCTGAAACAGCCCTCACCGCTGAAATTGACCAGGAATATGTTTACGTGTGGCCCGAGTAGTGAGAAGCTGATTAAAAACATTTGGCATTTGGGGTCTCCTGCCTCCTCGGTGTCCTCCTGGATCTGGGCTTCTGGAGCTCTACTAAATATAACAGCCACCAGTTTGTGAGTCAGTCCAGCTGCAGCAGTCGGCCTCGGCTCCAGGCAGTCTGGGCTGGATTGAGAAATCAAGCCGGAGCCTCTGTTGTTGGATGCCCTCTTGTGCTCGGCCGAGGTGCTGCAGCTGAACGAGGTTAGTTGTCCTCAGGCAGCTTTAACCACAGTCGGACGGCTCTTTTATGCTTTAGTTTTTATATTTTATGTGCATTTGCTCTGCTTTTTTTGCACAATCTGCTCACCCACAAGTGTTTTCTGCACTGCATGCAGACAATAACCTTGAATTTAATGCTTAATACTTAAAAATTTAAGTGTTTTCCTTTATTAAATACGATCACATGGTAAAAAGATAACATCCACTCAGCTAATAAATGACAGTGGCACATTCCTCCAACAAAAAAAATCAACCAACACCGAGTCAGCTTACTTCAAAAGTATTTTAATTAGAGTACATTTCTTCTGTTCACGCTCCATTACATGTATGTGTCGAGTGTGTACATATGACTTGAAAATAAAATCCTCACGCCTGAGATAAAAAAAAAAAAAAGGCTGTAACACATGAGTGAAGTGGCCACAAAGCGATGTCACAGGAGGTCATGGGATACTGTACTGATGTGGAGAAAAAAAATCCAGCAAAACAAGTTCCTAACACCAGAAATCCTGCACAGTGTGTGTGGTAAAGTTGCATCACTAATGGCTTGCGAGTGTGGGCGGGAGAGCTGATTCACATTCGTGTTCAGGCGCTCGTCCGCCAGCAGGGGAAGACTTGCGGCAGGGGAAGAGTCGTGTTAAATCCCCGCGTCCCCTCCACTTTTAGTTAAGCTCGGGTATCAGAGGAAAGCTCGGCTGTGTTCACGTCGGCTCTGTTTGCCCTTCAAGTTTTATTCAACCTCCATCAGTAGCCCTGTGCGTCAATTAGACGGGGGAAAAAAAAGTGTCTGGTGGGAGTAATTGTTCAGTAGTTTAATAGTTTCTAAGATATAATCAATATGAAGCAGCATGAGACTATAAAGCCAACTCATGTAGGATGTAATGTTGATCTCACCTTTAATGTTTAGTAAGCAGCATTTTAAACAAATACTGTGTATAATCATGCAGGTTAGGAGCATTCTATCAAAAAAATAATCCACTTATGCAACTTCTCGAACAACAACAGGGGAAATAAAAGGAAAAGAAGATTCTAGTTAGGAGCAGAACAGGGGTGAAGCTCCTCCATTACACTGTGATCCAGTATCGGTGCACAAAATAACATCCAGTGCACTTGTTCTCTTGCCATTGCCTTTTTTTTTTTTTTTTCCTTTTTGTGCTACACACAGCGTGGGGAGGCTAGGTGTTACCTCCCTCGCAGAGACAATGCACAAGTGTTTAAATATTGACTCTGGCTCTGGAAGAGACATTTATTTCGCTCTCACCTCAGGTCAAGGCTGAACCTTGACGCCGTGTTTGCTCGGTCTCCGTTCTGCTGATCTTGGCTGTTTTCCTGTAACTATCTAAGCGTGGAAATCATTTTCTGACAGGCTCTTTGCAAAATAAAAAATAAAAAGAAAGAAAGAAGGATGGCTTTATTCTGAAATGTGTTGTTATGAAATTCCTACTTTGGAGTCAGTGGATGTATTCATGACACAGTGTTGCACCGCTGTGACAGGAAAAAGGCATACATTCATTGCTTGAACACAGTGTTAGACTACTTTAGGATTGTGTGGCATCTTAACATTAGCGACACAGAAGAAGACAGATATCAGATTGGCCCACTCCAAGAGGTAGCCCACAGTAAACCCAGTACGGCCCCGACGCAGAGGCAGACCAAACAAGTGCTTCAAAGAATAACTCGAACAAATAACACAGAGCCATGCAGACGCTTTAAGCCAACAACTGCCTGGTTCACATACAAAGGAAGTGTTAATCCTTCTCTAATCAAGTCTGTAAGTGTACTTTTTTTTTTGTATTTGTGCAATTTTCTCAAATAAACATTAAAGTGTTAAACAAAACAAGAATTAATTGGATCACGTTTGGCATCTGAGCTTTGCTGGTTAGACAAAGGCAGAGAAATAAGGAGTGCAAGAGGGGAGGAAAAAAAAAAGGGAAGCAACACAGCGGGGAGGATTTCTCCCACGGCGAGGCCTGAACGCACTCGGAAATATACGACCGGCACAAGACCACATGCCTGCACCCATCCCATGCCTTCAGTTTCCACACTAGCTAACAAGCGAGCGCACGTGTCAGGAGAAAAGAGCAGACAATTAAATCACACGGGAGGCTGGGGTAAGTCATTTGTTTCCAATAAAGGGAGACTGGCACACAAGAGTAGGGGGGGGGGGAGTGCTGAAGGCTCAGAGGGGGTTAACGGGGTCAAGTGAGGAGGGAGGCGGTGGGGGGAGGTCAGGGAGGTCAGGAGGGGTTAGACTGGTCTCAGCGCGTCGTCGTCTCCTGGGACGGGTGAGTCCTCGGGCTGGGTGAGGAAAGACTCGGTGGCCGGAGGACCGCCGCTGTCCTGGCTGCCGGTGTCACTGACGGACCCCGAGGGAGTCATCTTGGTCTGAAGCAGGAGGAAGGAAGGAGAATGCAATGATTTAGTAATGCAACTGATGATGGGATTATAGAAAGGATTTCACCTGAATCCCGCTTCATAGGTAGCTTTTACAAGCAGCAACACACAAAACATCATGAGAGTCTTTAAAATAAGTTTTAAAAGTGACACAATCCTCATGTTACTAATGAACATCTGACTCATAAAGGCAACTCCACCCCATTTCAACACTGAAGAATTCTGCAGCTACAGCTTTATTTAGTCTGGAATGACTGATAGCTTATCACGGCTAACTTTAGCTGTGTTACTCCTACTTCTGATAGTTCTTCTAGACTTTATAGCTTTTGTTATTTATTTCTGCTCGGTAGGTTTAAACTAAAGGGAGCTCTTCATATGAGGCAGGTGCATTGGAGAGGGACGAGTGCATCCAACAGGTACAAAAACAGAATCCAGCACACCGTCTAACTTGCAATCATAAATCTGTTAAAGCGTCCTCGACCTATATCAGGCTAATGGCTCAGACAGGTTACCTAAAAAACTTGAAAATACGTCAGAGAAAATCAGTGTAGTTCCTGCTCGTGGCCTATAGCAGTCGCTGTTCAGCAAACCCTGCACAGTCTCACTTTAAATGTTGATTAAAAGCCACCGAAGGTCAATTGTGACCTCTTTGTGATCTAAAGGAACATTTTTATGAAGCTATTAAAAAGATATGACAAACTGATTGAAAGGGTGATGCATGCAATTGAGTTGGGCTCATGCTCCACCCATGTGACCGCCTCCATGTTTCCACTGAACCAGGGGTGGGCAATCCTGGTCCTCGAGGGCCACAATCCAGCATGTTTTAGATGTTTCTCTCTTCCAACACAGCTGATTCAAATGATCAGCTCATCATCAAGCTCTGCAGAAGCCTGATAACCATCCTGATCATTTGAATCAGGTGTGTTGGAGGGAAGAGGGAAACATCTAAAACATGCAGGACTGTGGCCCTCGAGGACCAGGATTCGACACCCCTGCACCAAATGGTGGATAAGAGCAAAATAACACAAATGCAGAGGAAGAAATGTTTCTACGTGTTCTGTACAGAATGAAGGCTGGCGTCTGAGTCATAATCGTGATCGTTTCAGGGTTGCGTTCGTAAACACGATCCTGGTTTTTGTCAGCGCGTCTCAGAGAGTTGGCAGCTTTTACCTTCAGCGTCTCTACTTTCTCCTCCAATGACTTGAAAGTTGGCGCATTCCTGTGAAAGCAAAAAGACATAAAAGAGTAGGTGACAACGGGATGGACGGGTCTACGCTGATCGCTTTTCAAAAACTTGTGTCAAAAAACAAGGATGTCGACTGTGAGCACAACCGTTAGAGGCCATGTTATCTGATCCTCAATACACACAATGCAGGATTTGGTTTTTAAAAAGTGACCCAATTCTATTCTTCTCCACTGAAAAGGTGCTGAGAGGTGTTGGTTTTCAGGAAAACTAAATCAACAGAATGCAGAAAAAAGGAAGAGAGAAGAAAACGTGAAATATTTCCTCAAACGAGCCTCTGTGAGATAAATATTAACCAGTTCTTTTAGTCTGTGTACAAAGGTGGAACATTTCTATCTTTTGGTTTTGGATTGTCGGCCAGACAAAAAAGCAAATTATTTTGTGATGTTTTAGAGACCAGATGACTAATTTTTTAATCAGTTTATAAGTTAATCATCCACAGATTCCAGGACAATGATCATAGTTGTCAGCTGCAGCAGTAATCGTCTCCGTCTTAAATCTGGCTACAGAGAAAGCTGTGTGCCATCACACTCCAAACTATCATGCACTAAGGGCTAGAACTTATTCCTACTTGCAGAAAACCCACCAGCAGAGCCGCCTCTGAAGCTGGGTGTTTCCCGATTCACAGCCGCTCGATGCTGCCTCGGGCTTTATCTCCGCGTTTTTGACAAGATTTCTGCTGGACCTCTGTGAGCTTGATGAAACAGCGGCCTGGCTGACGGAGATTATTGCAGCCGCAGCTTCACTGATAGCTGATAAAGTGGCTTTCACTTTATCTCTTGAGATCCTCAAGGTGCACACTTGGAGCTTTTTAGTTTATATGTTAATCGATGGCATGTGAAGAAGCGCTTTCCTCTTTTCTAATGTCGCAGACAAACATTGTGCAGGGTATTTTTTTTTTTTTACCTCTTTCATGTTTAATTATTCAATGTCAGGGTGAGGCTGTGTGCCCCTTACCTCATGGCAGGCATGCTAGCCGAGTGCGGTAATGAGTGTATGCTATCCGACAGCATTGTGGAGAAGAGAAGGGAGGCGTTAGTGATGATTTTAGCATCGCACACACACACACACACACACACAGAAAGAACAAGAGAACAAAAGAGGCTCACATATGCAAGAACAACATACAGCACAAACCCTCATTTATTCTACCAAGTGCACAAATCCTGTAAATCCTGCTTTATCCCATTAAGATCAATTGTGTATTAACACAGAGGGGCACGTGCTAATCCTGTGTATTATGGGGGGGTGGTGGGGTGGGGTGAGGGTGGGGAAGGGGGTACTTGTCATCAAACAGACGCACACAAAACGACCACAAAGCACGTAGGCACACACGAGGACACACAACCGCCACTTTGACCCCCTGTCAGGTCACTCTTCACCCCCCAAACCAGCTCCGAGCTCATCCTGGAGGCTGCGTTTCTCAGCACATTGGAGCTTTGAGGGGGCTAATAATCTTATTTACAGCTCAGTAATCCACAGAGAAGAAGGATGACAAGGGAGAAGACAGATTAGGACCTGAGGGGATCAACGACAGATAGATCTCGAATGGAACAGTCTGTTGTTGGGTTTTTTTTAAAGTTGTGTTTAATCAGGAAATATTAACGAGGAAGTAGAGATGGATGGTGACATCTTTGGCACTTTGAAATCAGACTTTGGTGATTTGGTTCACAGAAAATCAACCAGTTAAATCTATAGCTTTATGATACAGGATATCACTTTTATGAATGATGGGTGGATGATAGAGAACGTTGTGAGCAGTAATGTGATTAGAATGGATAAGCGGTGAAATGGGGGCTAACGAAGGACGGAACTAAAGGTGTCATCAAATTAAACACTAAGTAAAAACAAGGCAAATATGCACACAAACACACATTATTACTACTACATTCATATATCTATAGATATTCCCCTGATTTCAGTTTATTAGGCAGAATTTGGTTGAAGAAAACCTTTAGTTAGTCGTGTTTTGGGCAGTCTCACCCAAATGTATTAGGAATGGACTACAACCTGCAAAAGTCATGCGCTGGTGTAAGTTACTATCATTTGTGGTGTGTGTGTGTGTATACATTCAAACTCTCTTTATTTCACGTTATCTCTCATTTGTTTGACACCAGGAGTTATGAAACTTACTGATTCTGCATTAAAAGGGTTCTTTGATAATCTGTAAGTATCATGGCAGCTAGTGGGTGGATTTTGACTAGAAACAGGCTAGCTGTTTCCTATTGTTACTATCCAAATGTTATGCTAAGCTAACTGCTTTGTATTTCTTAGTCCACGTGCAAATACGAAAGGAGTGTTGGTCCTTTAAATATACTCTTTAGTCTAGTTTTGAACTATTTTTCTTTTAAAGAGCATCGAAACCTTGTCAAGATTAATGTTCTTCATTGTTAGTAAAATGACAGGATGTTGGTATGGACGTAAAAGTCTTAAAAGCTAATTTTCCGGTTCTTTTTGTAAAAGGATGGTTAGGGACAGTGGGCCCAGGCCTTCAACCAGAACTTCGAGATCTCTATGAACGCACAAGACTGAGAGTCCTTATTGCATTTTTTCAGAGGACTTATTATTACTATCACTATTATCATTATCATTATCATAATCATCATTATTATTATCATTATTATTACCATTATCATTATTATTGTCATTATTATTATTATTTCCAATGAGTAGAGAATATATGAGGTTCATGTGACATTTAGTTTAACTTGTCAGGAGGGTGCTGATGTCGTCACTGTCGCTCATGTCAACCAATCATTTGGGTGGGACTCGTCACCATGGTAACCAAGAAAATGGAGGAGAAGCTTGCTCTGGCTGCAGCTGGCCTGAGCTGTGTGAGATGTCAGACAGAAATGATCACGAGGGCTGATGCTAGTCTGTCACAGTGTGTGGTTGCACACAGTCACGATACTGTGATGGAAACAAAATCAATGTGCAGCTTGAGAGTGTTTCATGATAAAGAGCTGGGCTTTTCTAAGAAAAATGCTATAAGGACAGACAGCCAGAGGGGATTGTAGGATGTAAATAATCAGGTTTCCCATCAAAGCAGCAGAAAAATACTGGACAGGAGGAGAACAGTGGAACAGTGCATATTGTGGTTCTTCAAAGGTTTCACAAAACATCGCTCACATTTAAGGGCAGCGAATGTTTTGTCATGTCCCTGAATGTGACTCACCTGACATCCTCCAGCTTCCGGCTGATGGCTGAGCCCATATTGGAGAAGGCTGCCGTGGCCTTCAGACTCGCCTGAGACAGAGTCTCAGAAGTCCTCCTATAGCTGAAACAGAGAAGAGCAGACGGAGAGGGTGAGGGAGGAGTGATGGGCAGCAGAAAGAGAGAGGACATGAGTGTGATGAAAAGAGACGGAGGGATCAAAGACAAGGACAGACCTAAACTCCAATGTCTTTTTCATTTTAAAAAAGCCTGAGAGCATCAGAATGCAGCTCATTTCCTGTAATATAAAACCCATCAAACAATTTCACACAGGCCACAGGCAGCCTGTCAAGTGCACTGAAATCTTTCTCTTCGTTCAGTGAAGAAAGAAGCTTTTTTCTCAACAGTGCTGACAGTTAACCACATTTTCGGGGCGTTCAGTTGGAGGAAAAGTACAGAGCCTGATTCATGTGTTGAAGAAGTTATGGATAATAAAGTCGTTGGTCGTGAAGTTTCTGTTTTTTTTTCAAAGGGCAAGGTACTACAAAGGTATCCAACAAAGTGTGAAACTTGTTGAAATCAAAAGTCAAAAACTCAATATGCAAATACGGTGAGCTGTCAGGTCAAATGTCTGCTTATTGTGGTAGGTAAGTACTTACGCAGTGGAAGTAGTGACCTCCTGCCAGGTTTTGGTGATGTTCTGCTTTAGCTCATTCAGAGGTGTGATGCCCAGCTTCCTCTTGATGTCCGCCAACTGCTTCTCCTTGGCTGCCAGAACCTGGGTCAGAGTCTGGATCTCGTCTTCAACCTGAGCGTGCAAACACAAAGTTGTCATATTTGATTTAAAACGTAAATGAGTTGTGCCTAAACTAGTCAAGTTTTATTCTCCTCAAGTTCTTTGGAAAAAGGGAAATCAGTAGGAACTAACAGAGGAGCACAAGAATGGAATCTTTATTTGAGAATCCCACCTTCTATTGTCCACAGAAAGTGCACCACTTTTATAATCTGATGCCATCTTTAATATTGTAAAGCGTGTTTTTCTCAGTTACAAGTGATATTCAAGCATTCACAATACCAAGTACTGGCTCTGTTATGTACCTCTTCCTCTGTATTATTAATTGGTGAACTGCAGAGTTGCACATTTATTAACAATTTATTTGGAGTCAATCGCACAAACACTGTCCTGCTGTCATAAATACTAACTAGCACCTCAAATCTGAAGCTAAATACAGTCATGGTCAAATGCACCATGTGTTCATTTGAGTGGCTAGAACTGTGTTATGTTCAAATGTTCATGATCTGTTTTAAACCCAGCAGGCTTAACGAAGAGGGCAACAGGCAAGCTGAAGTTATGTGGTACAAAAAGACTTAATAAAATGAGAAAATGCACAGTTTCATGATTCCAACTCATAACAATCATCACAAGGGAGCTGCTGGAAATATTGGCTGTTCAGAAACCAAAGTGGGCAAGTAGTCCAACATGTGTAGCGTGGTAAGTGGCTGGACCAGGTACAAGGAAGGACAATGTTGTGCAAAAAGCACTACTGTATGTACGACCACATCCTGGCTTTCATTAGAATGGAAAGATATTCAAAGCATACACTGAGGTGAAGCCAAGAAAACCTGCAGTCTCGGTCGTGTACGGTGATAATGAAAAGCGGCCGTGCATATTCTGTTCTAAACATTCTCTGCTGTTTCCAAGGACACCTGTCTGCACTACAGCCAGCCGCGTTCGACACCTGATCTCCACTCCCTGAACTTCATTAATCCCCTCCTGACCTTGGCCAACTCCTCCTGCAGCTCCTGACGCTCTTCCTCCGTCATGGCGGGAGGAGGAGGAGGAGGAGAGGGACCGACGGACGTCACCGCGTCTTCTCCCACCTCTGGGATGGAGTCAGGCTGCTCCTGGGGACCTGAGCGGTAAATAAGAAAACAGCAAGCGAGCAGGTTTATTTATACAGCACCTTGTCACACACGGAGGTTATTCAAAAGGGGCAAATGTAATAAAATTAAATTTAAAAAAAAGAGAAATAAATAAAACATTTAAGAAACCAGTACAGACAGGATCAATAAAGTGCACACAGATTTGTAGAATAATTAAAAATGAAAAAGACAAGAAATGACAAAAATAAAAGCAAAAATAACTCAAATTAAGCGAATAAATGTGTGGGCAAGATTTTAAAAAGTGCAGAAAGTGCAGACCAGACTTTATAATAACACTGATTACTTAGAAGCAGCAGAAAAAAGAGCAGTCTTCAGCTTTGTTAAATTGCTAAATTTGAAATCTAACTTTCAAGGGAGCTGGTTTCTGCAATGGAAGACTTATAGACTGTAAGTAGGACCTTACATGTTGCTCTATATTTAACAGGAGGCCAGTGCAGGGATCTGAAAATTGGAATAATGTGTTCCCTGTTCTAGCAGCAGCATTTTGAACGAGTTGTGTATTATCAAGGTCAGTTATGAGTGAATTACAGTAGTGAACTCTGCAGTTACTAAAAGCATGAATGAGTGTTTCTAGATTGGATGCATATTTCTCAGTCTGTTGCAGCTTTAATATGAAATTGAGGTTGTTATCACGGAGATTCTTGACCTCGCTGTCAGTTTTTAGCATCCTGGATTCAACACAGTCAATGAATTTTACAGTCGTTTTAAAGGCATGTAGGTGCCCATGTTTGCTGTGTGACAGTGAACAGGTGGCACGAGAGGAGAGCCTGATGTTGGCTGTCAAACTGTCTTACTATCTCCTCCAGAGGATGAAGAGAAGAAAGAAAGGAGGTGAATGAATATATGAAAGATATCAGAGACTGGAAAATGTTAAGGATGCTGCTGTTTAATGAATGGTGCAGACCAGGAGGGAGATGATCAAACCCACAAGCTTTTCATTCCTACTGTACTCCTTCTCTCTCTCTCTCTCACACACACACACACACACTCGTAGTTTCCCCTCCACACACACACATACAGTATACAGTACACACACTTCTCTTTGATGTTGCCGTTTCTGACAGGGCTGCGCCCAGTAGGAGCAGCAGTGCATCAATAATATAAAGTACTTTCTAGATGGAGACATCCTGGGTTCAGACAGCGGGAGAGAACACAGGAGGGAGGCTTGTCAGGATCTGTGAGTCAAAAGGACTACAGCACATGAGGATGTTCTGGGCCCGAAGTGAGCCAGAGTAGGGAGACACAAATCTGTCTCTGAGGTCATTTTTCTTTGTATCTCAGCCTTCCAATTATTTTAAGGAAGTAGAAATACAAAGGCAAAAATAGGGCAGTGTTAAAAAAAAGGAAAAAAGGGGAAACCCAAGAGCTGAATAAAACAGTGTGAGGGGAAGAAGACAAAAAAAAAAGGAACTGCTGGGGAATGAACTTAACGTGAACAGTGTGCTTTTATCTCAGCAGGAAAGGAGGCACAACCATCATATAAACTGAGAACAAAGGCAGAAACAGGCCTGAGCGTGGATATGATTACAACATTGGCCTTAGGTTTTTTTTTGGTAGCTTCTAGAATTTAGCTCGGTCCATATCCTGCGTACAGTAGGGATCTAAATAACATAAACATACAGAGCATTTGTTTGGTTGTTGCTGGTGATCGTTATTCAGAACACAAAGGGGCATGCAAATGTGCTCATGCAAACAGCCTGCAGCCCAGGGGTAGTTTAGCATAAAGACTGGGAAAAGGGGGCAACAGCTAGTGTGGCTTTGTCCAACTTTCTTTTTTTTTTTTTTTTAAATGAAAAAATAAAATGTAAAAACTGAAACTATACAGAGTCAGGGGTCCCTGCCACCGGTCAAAACACAACAGGACACAATCCCCTAAAGACATAGCAGATACAACATGTTAGTGGGAGGGTTTTGTTATCCTCAGATAGATCCAGGCTAGTTTTTGCTAAGCTAGGCTGCCGTCTGTAGCTTCATATACAACGTGCTTCATGTCATATATGTTTTCCACAATGTTGGACTGCTCCTTTTACGGTGCATTGACATTAGGAAAGGAACAGGAATACCCACTACCACTAGTGAACAGTTGCATCATTGCCAGTACACCACATGCAAGCATACATTAAATAACATTGGTTTCAACGGTGATGCACAATCTGTGTAATAAACGGCACTGACAATGACAGACAGACTATTAACTCTCTGAACTGAAAGCAGTGTCTTCCCAGCGCTTTTGTTCCTAAAACATTTTTGCTCACCGTGGGCTCATTTTCCATTATAATGTAATATAATATATAATATAAAGTCTTTCACCTCCATTGAAAGAGCACAACCGTGTTTAGAAGTTAAGAAACCTCAATATGTCTTTTGTGCAACATGACAAAGTTAAAATGTCATAAATCATAACACAGTAAAAGTTAAGGTTTAATTTCTTTGATTATATGACAAAAAAAATGTGTTACCAAAACACAGGAACATGACTCTAAACACTTAAGATATTTTACTATGTTTTAATTCGTTTCTATGGTTGTCTAACTCTCTATTTGTACAAATACAGCCTGTAGTTCAGCTGAAAAGTCCCCGAATCGTTGTAACGTGACTGATTCCATCACGACTGAGTCACTCGTGGCTTCTCAGTTGTGCAGAATTTTTGGTTTGTTATAGAATGTGGTTAAAGCAAACACCTTATTTTTGGTGATTTTTTTTTAATGAGACATGAAGATGAAGGTGATTTTGATGAGATATTTTGATTTCAAGCTTGGGTTTGGAGAATTTTCCAGATGGAACCGCACGTCACGCACGATTAGTTCAAGCAAAGTTGGAAAAACTGTAGTTTCAGGCTCTGACAATTGGTGTCATAAGAGGGCTGAGAGGGTTCATCTCCCTCCACCATTACACCAGGCTCACAGTTCCCCTCAACACTCTGAACATGTGCTTCGGCTCCCAAAATGTGTTTTTGTATTGTTTGCATTTTACAGTTTAGGTTCCTCCTGGTGCCATCTCTGCTAACATTACTTCCTTGTTGCCAGATCTGCAGCAACAATTGCTGGATTAAAAAAAAACGCCCAAGAAAATGAAGCAGACATTTCCAAACACCTTGTCTTTTGCATGGCGTAGTGACACACCCTGCAGTACGCTTCAGTAGCAGCAAAGGGAGGAATGACACCATCAGAGGTCGGCACAAACATGCCTTTTAGCTGGAGATAAGATGTTCTTCGGGGAGAGTTATTTTACTTATTCACATAGAGGATGTTTTAACATATAATCCCACTAAAAGGAATGCCATTTCAGATCCATTTTCACATCTAGCCTCCCACGTCATTCCAAACACTTGGCGTCCTTTCTCTCTTTCATGTCACACCCCAGTACTTAAAAAAAGCACATTTTAACAAAAAGACTGAAATGCTAGGGGCAGAGATACAAAAATCATAAAAAAAATCTAGTAATACATACAGAGGAATTTGCTCACAACCGTCAAGAGAGCTGTTAATGAAATAACAGCCCCCCGATCACATATTGTTATCAAAAGCTGAGAGCCGGGCTGCTCCATTACTCATTCGTTTTATATTTAATTAACACCATGGGAATAAGAAGAGCTGATTGGACATCTCTCAAGAGCAAATATTTATATGTCAAAGCACGCTGAAGCGAGAAAAGTGCAAATCAGTGACAAATGGTTTTTACAGCAGAAACAAAGGCAGGCACTGCAGTAATTAAGTGAGAAGATATACGGAGGAAATTCTCTTTTCAGCCTTCAGTCCTGAAACCACCCCCCACCGGTCCTCTCAAGTGTTTTAATTCATCTGCCCTCCAGCGATTCTCCCCTCATATCTCTCTCGTGCCTTACATTCGCCCTCTCCTTCTTATTACTGGTGATACTGCAGGGTCACACGCACACAATATACAGATACACCGTCTCACAAAGACAGCATTGTGTGATAGTCACTTCCCCTTATAATACCAGGACAAGTTTCCCTCCGTATCTATACTCATTTTTTTTCATTTCGATAACCTCCTTTTTGCTGCGCGGGAACTATCTAAGTCTATGTTCATCAGACATATCTGCAATGTCACATTTTGTAACGTCTTCCTGTAGGCAGCAAGAGTGAATGTATGAGTTGGATGTGTTTCCATCAGTAGGTGCTGAGAAGAAAAAAAAATAGACAAAAAACAAAGGGAGAGCGAGAGAAATAGAGAAGTTTGTATGTAGGCAGAAGTTTGGCTTGCTGCACCAAACTGCATAGCCACCCACATCACTGCCCAACCTCTGTGGTTGAGCTCGTTTCCTCTTAACGAGTTCTGCCCCGTGACCACCAACTCCATGTAGCTGTCAAATCTGTAGCAACTAATTAGAAAAGTACGGCTCTGAAGTGAAGCTTGCCTGAAAAGAGCAACATTCTAACAGACTGCCAGCTTTTAATTATCTCTTCTTTTGTGATAACAAGTCAAAGGAAAGGCAGTGATTTTGTCTGGGCCCGCTGAACTAATGCGGCCTGATCGTTCGGTAGCTGCTTTACTGTATAGTTTCCACTTTATCATTATGACTAAGCCGCACAAAGACGTTGGTGTTGGTAGATGACTTTAGTGCGGAAGGTGATTTAAGCTGCGTAATACATTGTTGTTGTAAAACTAGAATATGACAAAACTGAAATAGCAATAGAATAAATCTAGAAAATACAGATATATACAGACAACTGATATTCTACATTACATCAAGAAAGGCTCGACAATGACACACATAAAACTACACATGAAGTGACACTAGAATTGTTATGAGGATGCTTCTGGCTCTCTACAATCCAAACACTGCTGCTGATTCTAACTTACTTCTGATCTTTAGGTTTAATGAAATTAATACTGACATGTGCTACAGTATCTGGTTGATCAATTCCACAGATCAGAGTGTGATGAAAATAACACGGAGTGAAAAATTCACTGTATAGTCGGCTGAAGTGGACACGCAGCATGCCACAGAGCTAAATTAAGTTAAACAATTACACTGCAGAAATTAGAATTGCAACATTTTTCACATTGAAAGAAAGAACATGAGCAGTTTTTACAAGCAATTCCTTACATATGATATAAAAATAGCAAAACCTCAATAATTTCTAACACATGTGCAGCATAAAATACACACATGCGGGGTGCAGAGAGCCTTGATAAAGAAGTAAGAACCACTGATGATAGATGGAAAGATTTAGGGAATAATGCATGGTGTGTGTAATGGAACAATCACAACCATAGCAACGTATATCAGATTATGATGGTCTGAAACGTAGAACACTGTCTGATAACTAAATTAAAGCAAAATGAAAATTGGCAAAGGCTGCTGTCATACACACACACACACACACACACACCACCAACCACTATCAGTTGTTCCCTCCCAGTTTGTGTTCCCCCAAATTCTTCCCGTTCAATGAACCAAACCCATGTTTTGTCTCGGTGTCCAGAACGCACACACACACACACACACAAACACACACATCCTCCACTCGGCCTCTCCCTTTCCTCCATGTGATTACCTCTGCTTTTGACAGCTGGCGAGCTGGGCGGTGTGTCGCTGTAGGCTGGCGAGAGGTAGAGGTAGCTGGAGTTGACTCCTTGCTCAAAGTCAAACGGAGAGTGGTATTCCTCCAGGGGCTCCATATTTACCGCTCACAGCGTTGCTGGTCAGAGCGACTACCTCCTCCTTGCCACCACTACTACCTAAGCAAAGCGAGCCAAGTGCTGATTGTCTGCATGTGATCCGGGCGCGTGTTGGTTGTCTGAGTTTCCTTGTTTACAGCACCCTGGACTCTTGTGGCGTATCTAATGGAGAGACACTCAATATCCAAGTGTGTGCAACTATAAGGAAGTATGCTTTGTATTGAGGTAGTCAGAAGGTTAGAATAAAACTGCAGTGACATCAGTTATTCATTGTCCACGTCGGGCAGCAGGCCCAGGTGTTGTAAGCCCTCTGCTCCTTTCTTGCTGTTAATAAGTTACCTGTCCCTTCAAGCAGCTGCTGCAGCAGGCACACACCCACTTCCTCGCCACTGTAATCCCAAAGGTCAACTCTCAGTCCATCCTTCAAACATCCGTTTACGCAATCAGTGCCGTTTTCAGATGCTAGCCGCTGTTAGCTAGTGTCGCAGTGATATTGCATGACACTCCAGTTTCAATACTCTCAGGTCCCTCTGCCAATTCCCTTCCTCCCTCACTTTCCCATCATCCAGCCTGTCATCCAAAGGAGGAAATAAGAGAGGTCCCATTTGTGCGGGCAGGTCACGTGATGCGTGTGGGTAGGGGCGCATTAGATGAAAAGCATAATCTGCAGTGTCCCAGATTACAGCAAAGCGCTAATCCAGGGTGGCCGGTCCAGCTTGCAGCAGGAGTAATGCTAGTCAGCTCGAATGGAGACGAGAGGGTGCCAGAGGCTACGCTAGGTATTGTATGTGTGTACTTGAGGGAAAGTGCTCTGTCTAGTAAAGGGAAAACTACACATGTACCACTGTGTATGTTCACCACGGTTGACATTTACTGAGCAAGAACCATCACATAATGTGAATCCTTCACTGGTTAAAAACCTACTCGTTCAATCAAAATATTTTTCTGAAAGTAGTCTTGGTGTCACATCTTTCTACCTACTCAACAGATCTATGATATAAGACAGGAATTTGATCTGCACAAATGGAGGAAATATGTAAGAATAACTCATGTCACATTTCACTCAAACACATCAATAGAGCGTCAGTAGACAGCAAACATCTCAATATATTCAAACACCTGCTGAGATGTTCAAGGCTGCAGTGAGATAGAAAGGCAGTCTGGGGACATTCCAGCACAAGTTTTATGACAGAGGACAACAAGAAGCCCTCAAAAAACACACGAGCGCAGCCAGCTGATGACTGGTCCCAGTAAGAGGGATCACCAAAATTCAGATGTAAATTTATCTGAAAATGATTCTCGATACCTTTGGAAAGATTAACTAAGACGAGAATCAAGGAAGATAGTTTGGTCTGGTGAACAATGACCAATGAAAACTCAGTGGTAATATCAGTTAATGTATTACTGGCACAAAATCAAATTAGCACATCAGAAACGTTTAAAACCAGTAAGTTAATTTTGGTTGGTTTTTTGGTTGTGTAAGTAAATCATGTTGTCGATATTTAATTTCCTTCAGGCCTCCTCCGCCATCCTTCTGCTATTGTAAAAAGCCAGACAAGCATGTTTACGTGATCTTCTCCAGGAAATACCTGGCATTAGGAGAGAACAATCGGTGCTCTCCGAAAAGTATTGAAGCACTAGGGGACAAATTCCACAACTGACTACAGTCATCTGGAAAAAACAAGTCCATCCCTTGGAGACGGTTGCCATTTTTGACATATTTGAACAAGCAAACAGTTGATTCTCTTCAAAGGAGTGCTTAAAAATAAACATAGTATAACTTAAGAACAACACAAGGGAAATGAGCGTCATTTATTCAACAAAAATATGAATAAATGTACTATTCGTAAGTGCTTAGCCTCTGACATCAGCCTGTTGAAATTTTTCCCCACTCTCCCATACAAAGTTCTTCCAGTTGTAAGATATTTGAGGGGTTTCTTGAAAGCATGCCGTCTATTTCAAATCCCTCCACCCCACTTCAGTTGGACTAACTCATTCCCCAACCCTCCATTTCTTCCACTTGGTGGATTTGCTGGTGTGCTTACGATCATTATCCTATTAAATGGCCCACTTCCGGTTTAACTTCAACCTTCAGACAGATGGCCTCACATTATCTTCAAGCACCCTTTGATAAGATGCAGAACTCACGGTTGAATGAATGACTGCGAGTTGCTCGGTGTTTGAGGCAGCGAATCAACCCCAAGCCGGGACATTTTCATTCCCATGCTTCACAGTCGGTACGAGGATCTTCTCCTGAAAAGCTGTTCTATATGTTGAATGGCAAACTGTAGTTTAGCGCTACGGTTCTTTCTCCCGGCACTCCTCCCATACAGGTCATCTTTGTGCAATCTCTTTTTGATTAAACATGCAGAACACCAACAGCTGTAAGAGCTACCTGCAGATCTTGATGAAACTTTGGCGTTCTTCTAGACTTCTTTTTTTTGCAGCAAACGCTCCACTCTAGGGCTGAATTTGCTGCGAATTAGTCACTTAATTTATTTAAATTATTAAAATGACTAAAATATCTCAAGTTTTCTGTGTCATTTGTTTGAAAATATTATCTTTTTTGTAGCACTGTTTCAAAGAGGATCATGTGTTTGCAGTTCAACGGGATGTTGTGATTTTTCCACACAACTCTAAGCCAAAGTGAAGAAAATGGATGACTCACATTATTTAATAAACTCCATAATAACAACGGTGGCATTGTAATTACAGAGACAGGCAGGGTAAATTATTAATTTCAATGTAATGCAAGCCTCACTGTACGCGTGACAGGCCTGTAAAAACAAAGTTGTGGGTCATACAAGGCTAACTAATGTGGCCTGATCTGAGTCAGGGGTCCACTGAACCACGCTTTCATTCAGCAAGATCAGCCCTGAAGTGACAAGCTTACAGTCGCTCAGCAAATCAAGGACAGTGAATCCTTGCCAGTAGTTTTCCTCTCTTGCTGCTCAGATTTGTGGTCTTTTTGTTATTTTGGTTCAGAGACTTTAACCTTGGTCTACATTACTGCTAATATGTGGACATGCTCAAACATTCAAGCACTAATCCTTACCATTCAAGTCCCTCTTTACAGTTAAGGGCTAAACTATTCTTTTCTTAGACCCAGCTATCTTAAAATTATAAATGACAAGAGAAGCTCAGTGTTGTCACATCTCAGTTAACAGCTATCTTAGCCATTACTTCCCTCCTGACTAGTGGAACCACTGATTTATGACGCACTGGATTCATGTGACACATGTTAAAAAGAAAATGACTCCTCTGCTTGAATTGAATAAATTATTAACTATTATGAAGTCACAAATCAGAAAACTTCACCAAACAATTTCAGCGTGCGCTTTGACTGGGTTGTTTGATGCACTATATTTGATTTAAAAATCAAAACACGTAAGAAGACCGAAAACAACCCATGGTCCTGGTCATCCAGACTGTAAGCAGGAACAAACAGCTATTTTAAAGTGGTTAACGAAGCACAGCATGAGATCAATTACTTTACTATTCAAGGCATAGCCTGTCACATGATTAGCCTAAAACAAGAATCATGAGACATGGATGACTGTGGATGCTTTGACTGAGCCCCGAAGTTCCCATTAGATGTGCATCATGGTAAAACAGGAAGAAAAGCAGGGAGTAGCTACACCTCAGACAGACCACGATACTGGACATATGTACCCAAATGAGACTTGCTGCTGCACTACTAGAGGGAAACAAATAGATAAAAGTTGATTAAAAGAAATTATTTGACATTTTGGAAAAGGATCTCTGTTGATTTCTTGTTAGGAGTTACATGTGAAGACTGGTACCCATTTCGGCTAAATATGAAGTTAGTGCTAGGCTACCACATAGATTGGAAAGAAGTGGAAACAGGTAGCTGCCCCAGTGTGGTTTCTTAAGGAACATAATTCGCTATTAATTTTTATATTTTTTTTCGAAATCTCAGCAAGAAAGCAACTGAACAAGTTAAACTATTCCTTCAAACCAGTTGGACATACTAGATCAGGTTCTTCATTCAAACACAAAGTCAGAGATATGCAGATTTATGTTTCCTTAACAATAAATATAACATAAATAAAAGTTACCCTCATACTATGTCCACAGCGCCCCAACAATCACATCATGGCCCATCGGTCAACATGGTTCTAATTCCACTGGATGTTAAAATGGATGAAAAAACTGGTGTAGTAAGGACTATTTCTACAACACATTTCCTACATCTGCAGAGAGTATTATTATTTAATACAGAAGCAGAGCGGCGTAGTATATTAAACAGATTAATTTAAAAGACAAAACACATTATTCTCTGCAGGAATGACACAGTAGGACCTGTTTTGTTTCAATCACAGTTCAGTCAGATTCACGTTGAAGACACTGACAAAGAATATTATTAATATTTAATGTCACCAAGTGCTTGCTCAATGGGGAATAGTTAGGTTTCTCTCTATAATTTAGGAGGGTCGTAACCTTATCAAATGTCTCAAGATGATATGTTATGCTGTATAAAAAAGATGAATTGAAATGGAAAGATTAGAAGTACAACAAAAGGTAAATTTGTACTCAATTGTGTCTAAACACTGGACAAGCTAGCTACAGTTTATAGATCATCAGATGACAGGAAATGCTCGTCTCTCTGGATGAACCAGTTGGGCCTAAGGTTTTGACACTGTAAGTCTCATTCATAACCACCTGGATATTACACTGAAATTATTTAAAAAAGGAACTGAATTACACATTAAATCCTGGGATATTTAGGGCTGATGATTTATAAATCCCCCTGTGCACCATTTGACAGTGAAACATGAAGCTTCTCCCGCTGGTGTCATGTTGGAATATGGTCGGTGTGATGGCAGACAGGTGAGAACGCTGCTCGGCCAAATCTCACAGGTTCATGAAAAATTCTGCATAAAGCCATGAAACGGCCTCTTAGTTTCTTTTCAGTCCCATTTTATAAAGAATTAAAGCTGTATTTTAGTGCATGTAAAAACTAAACCACCAAATGTGCA